GATGAAGTATTTTTGTTCTAGGTTACGTTTTCTGTGAAAATATCCAAGTTTCTACAAGGAAGAAAAGAAATCAATGTATTTCCGTTGCAGATAATGACCAGATGTCTACTTACACGTTGTTGATTCTTAGCAGATCAGTCAGTCTAAATTGTCGAATAGAAGTCATTGTGATCTGAAAAAGTAAATCTGTTCTTTTGTGTTTGTTTTGTTAAACGAACTCATCGATATTGTTTTAAGAATCAATCAAATTAAAAAAAAACGAACGAAATCAGTCTTAAAAAGACATGTACAACAACGATGAAGTTTCTTTAAAGGAATTTTTCTATATGTGCGTTCAAGCAAAACACTGTTGTGTATTTTGTTAGCAGTCTTTTTTGCGAGCGTTAAAGTTTAGCTTTAAGATGTTGTTTTTCGACTTCTTCTGAATCAGGTATAAGATTTTGCGAGCCAAAGATATTCGTTGGATCAAGATATTCTTTAATCGATTTCATCGTACCAACACCCAAATCACTCACAGCTTGTTTTATCCATTTTGTTCGAATTTTACCGACACCATGGTGATGCGAAAGACTTCCACCATTCGCCAGGACTTCTTCACGTGCTGCTTGTTCAACGAGTTCGTAGACATGAACAGGATCGCTACCAGCACGTATGTCGTTGTAATTCATGACGAAATAGAAATAAACACAAGCACCTGCATCATAGGTTTGTGTTACACGGCATGAAGAGAACGGAGGATATTTCACGCCATTCTTCTCACATTCGGTGATGATACGTTTTTTAACATTGCGACATAAGTCTTAAGAAAATAGAAAGTGACTGAACGCAAAGAAAGTCTTTTCATTAATTTACCTATGACACGATCCCAGGGAACGGATGTTTCAAATGATTCAGCAACAATTCGATAATCAAGTCCAACATCTCGTAAGTAAGCTATCATGAAAGTTAATGTATATCCCTTGAGACCATTTTCTTCTCCTGCAGGCATTCCATTGTATTTTTGTGCGATATCATAGACAAATTTTTCTCTTTGATTAACTTCGTTTGTTGTTCCTTCGAATAACAGTGTTGCTGCGCACATTCGATTCACGTCGAAGCCTTTTATCTTAGTAATATATAATTTTTTCATGTTGTCAACTAATGAATGCAGCATTCCTTTGTTGTCAGTGGCTAATGCTTGTCCGAAAAGAAATTGTTCGTTATCAAGTAAACGTATCGACGCTGGTGCGCTTCGTAAGCGCGCTATTTCGCGTAAACATGCAACACCCGATTCGAAATCTGGAAATACGATCGAACCATATTTCTTACAGGCTGGCAGTGGTCGAATTTTCATGGTTACTTCTGTGACGATACCTAATGTTCCTTCCGAACCCATAATAACATGGTTAATATCTGGTCCAATCGATTGTCGCGGGCCGAGACAACTTTTCTCTATGGTTCCCTTCGGCGTTACCATCGTAACATGAACGACCAAATCTTCAATATTTCCATAGACATTCTTTTTCATACCTGATGCACGTGTAGCTACCCAACCACCTAATGAGCTGAATTCCATACTATCAGGTTCGTGTCCCGTACAGTAACCTAGATATACAAAAACAAAACATGTACATCCGATGAATCTTTTCATCTTCTTACCCTTTTTGGCTAATTCACGTTCCAAATCTTGTCCGATAATACCTGATTGAATTCGTGCAGTTAAATTTTTCTCATCCAAATAAAGGATTTTATTCATTTGTGATGTATCAACACTGATAATCATGCGTTTTTCATTAGCTGGACAAAGTAAAGCCCATGTAACTGATGTTCCTCCACCAAATGGAATCAAACAAACGTTATGTTTAGTGGCTAGGCGAACAATTTTTTCAACGTCATTATGGTTACGCGGCCAAACAACCCAATCTGGTAATCGATCGAACTTTCCACCATGTCGTAGCTTCCAGATTTCTTCCAACGTATGACCGTGTCCGTGGAAGAGACGATCATTCATATCGGATGAGTATTGAACCGTTGAACCAAGTGATGATTGAAAGTCATTAATGAATGAGTTGTTAAGGATGGGTTCAGGAATGTAATCAGGATTTGGTTCTTGAACGCTCGGCGAATAGTTGTCGATACTTGCATTTAGTTTACTAAACATCCAATCTTTCAAGCGCGGAAGAACGTGACCACTTAATAAGTATCGCGAACCAGAAAATTCAATTAAACCATTTGAATTGATGAAAAATCGCGAATCACGATAACCCCATCCTTGCCATTTTAACAATTCCTAAAAGAAAATTTTCGATGGGAAATATTTTACTGAATTCATCTGTTACTTGTCGATGTAAAGGAATGGTTGTTGAACTTCCTGTTCCTGTTGTTGCAGTATCCCCTTTACCTTCAGTAGCCATCTAAAATATGACAAAGGGCAGAATAGAAAATCGAGCAAATACATATATTTTTTTCTAGATTAAGAAGCCATTCGCATCGCTAATTTCAATTCATTTAAACTTCGTCGTCCTAGTGCTACTTGTGTTCGGATTTCTCCTAGATCTCTCAATGTTCGATTCCGATGAAATTCACTTCTTGCCCATTCTCGAACTAGAATGCAAAAGATGGAATTGCATCAACATGAGAAGTGTTCTACGCACTTTCTTTTCGATAATCCTGATCTTCGATTTTCATCATAGTTCTCATTATGTCTCGATACAGTGCCAAAGCTTGTGAGCGAACGATAAAATGTTTTAATGAGAATTGATTCATCTAGAACAAAACAAGAAGAAGAAATTACCAAGACAACATATTTTTATTTTTCTTGAACAAAAACTCAAATGAATATTGATCATTGGTTAGTTGCCTTGCCACTAGATGATTTACAACGAACGAATTATAATCTCTGTCAACAGAAATTAACTTCTCTTCTCAACCTTCCACTACGTATCGACTGTTCACCAAGTGAAACACTCTGGACGAATGCACTCGAACAAACAAGCTTAACTATGAACAATCGTAATCCATTAAGGATGTATTGGCAACGAAATCTGAATGAATTACGATTATTTCTCAAACCTAATCAGACAAAACTCGATGCGAATATTATTGAAATACATAGACGAAAACGACTACCACTTACACGCTATGTCAAACAGGAGGTTATGCAATCATCGGTTGCGATATCGTTTGCACCGATACCGTCATCAACAGATCATTTCCTTTTATTAACTATAACTGGCAAACATTGCATTCTAGAATTACAGATACCGTCCATAGGAAATGAACTTGTCTTTAGTGGGACGTACAGGAAAATAGGCGAAGATGCACAAGCGAGATCAGTCACTGCACTCTTTAATTGTTCAGTATCTATCGATAACGACATGGCCTTGTTATTGGCTGAGTATGGGTTATGTCGAGTAAATTCCTAGTGAGAGAGAAAAAGATGAAAACAAACAAGATATTGTTTTGTGTGGGATTTTTATTCGAAATAAGAAAAGAAAAATGAGCTTTACAAAAGCAAATGCTGTTAATTTCGACGTCTAACCGCTGGTTCATTTCTTCGTCTCTGTTGTGGACCTGATGCGCCACCACTTGCACCATTTTGAATTTGTTGCTGTGTAGGCTTTTGCTTTTTGGGGCCACCAAAAATATTAGCGAACATATCACCAATATCAGGTGTATTCAAATTCGGCTGGAGGAAATTACTTGCTTGTTGTAGATCTCGTTGCATTTCAGGATCCTGTGATGCTATTTTAGGTAAAATGAGTAGCAGAGCTAACGGGACAAGTAATGTTAGAAACATGGGATTCATAATCACATCAGTGAGACGATAGACTTCACGTTTTTGAAAATAGTTTGGTATACCGTGAGTTTCGAAATTCAATGGATATTTCATTGTCACAACTTCGCCTGGTTGAATGAAATTGACTTTACGAGCACGAATTTTACCTTTAGCATTGATATCAACGCGAACAGGCTCAAAAACATGCATGGGTGAGACAACGGAGACAATATATGAACCACTTGGTACACCTAAAGCAAATCAACTGTGCATATGTCAGTCCGATGATATCGATGGTTACCGCAGATGGTGAATGTTCCATCGACTTGTGGAATACCAACATAGAGGCCTTCATCGACTAAAATTCTTGTGTTTTGAAGTGCATTGTCACCAGGTGGGACAATGATTTTGCCTTCGATTTTATATGATCCAACACTTTCATTTGACGGGTTGATTGCGATGGAATCTTGAGATGCATTAATAAACAGTACGAGTATTGAACAGAACAAAACAGAGAGAATATATTTAACCATTTTTCAATGCCTAAACGAACGACGTTCTGGATCGCTAACATATCAAACAATAATCTTACTGCTTTTTGTACACAATCTTTTAACGCAAGAAATTCTTTCAGACAAGAATCTTTTTTCAAGTCAGTATGATTAATCACACAAGCGGCGTATACCGAGGCCTTCATGGAGGAAAATAGCAAAAAATAAAGATGATGTCGAATAGATTTTGTGTAAGAAATCTTACTTGAGTTGAACACGTGGCAACGTTTTTAGCAATAGAAGTCAAGCGTTTACGTGCAAGACTTTCGGGCATTCAATTGACAAATATAGTTCGTGAAAAAATAAATCAAGTGTGAACTCGAATCTCCAATCGTATTCGAGTAAAATATATGTTTGTTATTACTCTGGAAAGATAACAACCTATAGTTTTGGTTTATTACTTAAAAAATAAAAAATAAATAAAGCGTCTAAAACTTGCTTTTCAACAATGAATACTATGCAAAATATATAAACATGGTAAATAGATGTCGCTGGAAGTCGCGAATAGAAGACTATCTTTCTCAGTGATAGTGGAATAAGATTGATAGGTATATTAAACTTGAATAAAATATTCTTTAATTCATGGATGCGATGGAGGAGAAACGAAAATATGTACATCTATGTGTATATATAATTTATTTTTTTAATGACAAAATAAAAACATCTAATATTCGAACAAAAGAAGAATCGATTCAAACAAAACTGATATGCTGCGCATGAACATGATGGTAATGTGAGTTCTGTTGAGTAACATCATTTCCATCAAGTTTGTATCGAACATTACTTAATTTTTTCCATGGATTTTCAGCTGCTGATACTAAATTCGACGATGTCGGCTTCAGTGGAGTATGTTGTAAATAATTAGAATTAGGTCGTTGTTTAGATGTTGACAAAAGATCAGTTGTTTCATTATCGTGTGTAGATGTATAATGACGTTGTTGTTGTTGTTGTTGCCGTTCAGCATCTGTACATGCATCGTTTAGAAATGAACTCCCGCCACTAATACTTGCTGTTTGCGTTGTCTCGTCATTTAAATTTAGTGCCCAACTATCTGATTTCGAATTAAATAATGACACTTCAGTTGTGTAGTCAGATGACGTATGTCGACGACGACGATGGTTCATTGCAGCTGTGGTCGAAAGTTCTTCTTGATTATTACTTGTACTCGGACGTTCCATCGATGTTTGTGGAGTGGATAGTGTTGTCTTAAATTTCACGTGAATATTCTTGGACGGATTGAATAGAACAATGTATAATTTTGGTGCAAATAAACATAAAAGTATGACAGTCGCGGATAAACTAAGACAAATAGCCAGAGTTACCAATTGAATCTAAACGAAGGAAATAAAACTCATGTAGATGAATCGAAATCTCACACTTACACGAAACCAATTGTCACTACTTCGAAGACCAAAGAAGATCGCTATGAATGCCAACCATATGATACAAACGGAGTACATGGCAAAGCCAATATGTTTTGCTTCATTGAAATTTTCTGGAATATGTCGTGTTTTAATCGCATATAATGTACAATATATACCCAAGATCATATTATAAATCAATGAACATACAATATATTCATTATTAGTTTGACATACTAAAATCGAACGTTTTTGATTATGTTTCTGTTCGGATTTAATACGTGTGTATGGCCGAGATATGATTATCCATAGTAGAACACTAATTAATTGTGCACTAACAATGCCACCGCAAATACCTAGTTGTGATCGGGGTGATAAACAGGATGGTTGAGTTAAACGTTGACTGTTATTAAATATTCGTGCTAAACGATTGGTTTTCGTCAGTAATGCAGCTAGACATATAGTTAAACTTAATCCAACGCCAAGACGTATGAAAAGACATGTGATAGCATGTGGTTTGAGAATCAAAGGCCATGTACAAAGATGACAGCAACAGATACCAAATAAAAGAAAAAAACTTAATTCACGTGAGGATGCTTTTATAACTGGTGTTTGAGCAAACCGTATGAAAATAACAACAGTATAAACGGCCATTAATAGGCCAATACAACTAAGAATCAATGCTGGCCATGCAATAATATCACGCGGTGATAGATATTCTTCCGGTATGACTATACATTTCGTTGAGTCGGCATTGGGCACTTCTTTTTCTGGACAAGCTTGGCATGCTGTTTCATTTATGGCTATACTAAACGTTTCACATGCTCGACATGTCCAGCAGCATTGCTGTGAATCTATATTCGTACGAATTTCACCAGGATGACAAGGTTTACTACAAAATGATCGTGGTGTAACAGAAATATCTGTCCATTGGGATGAGCCATGGTCATATTGAACCCATTTTAATGACTGAACATCGATGCGCACTCTATTAAAAGGGAAAAAAAGAGAGGGAGTTTAATGCGTTTCTTCTTTTGGTCAATGGCCAGTCTGAAATGCTATCATATAAACAGTTGCACAATTCGTTTGTCGTTTGATGACCAGGTACTTTTCTACATCGATTTGTCTCTGCTTCGCTGAGTATCAATTAGCTTTGCGTGAAAATGGTTAAGTCACATTTTTTCTAAATATCTAATTTGCAGATATAATCAGATTTATTCCGAGATAAAGAACAAATTTTTATTAGATTCTTCATACATAACATGCAATGTGAATGAATTTGGTAATTAATAGAACATTGTCACAAGGTGTATGCATAGGAACATTCATAGCAAAGGAAATAACTTATTCGATCTATTAAACCAGGGAAAAAGCACGGCTTTTCTCTAGAACAAAGTCAGATTTCCAACATGTTCCTCGTTTCTTGACAAGATAATTAACATCTTTGTTTGTTTGTTTCAAATGACAAATCTACCGATTGTATTACAATCCGTTCTTTCTTTTTTCGTTAGCTGATTATGGGTATGTGATTGCATGTTTTCAAATATACTATGTTTATGATTAGCTCTCCTTGAACTATAATATTCTTCGTCAATGCAAATAGACTTCCACAGAGAATTGACAATGACGAAGATATCTCTAATCAGTTTGTCATGCTATTCTATATATTTTACCTCTCGTTACTTTGATCGCTATCAGTGAATTCTCCGATAGTTAAATAATCATGTCGATCAGATGAATCAAGCATTTGATATTGGAAAATATCATAGGTACCAATACCATCTCCGTCGGTCGTGAACTTGATAATGCGCTTCGATAATTCTAAGTACAAAATCATCGTGTAGCAAGTTCCTAATGAACGGGTTATTACTTACCATTTCGAAAGGTTGTGTTTCGCAGTAAAGTCAGCAACTTCGTACCATCGAAAGGAAAGAATTCGTCACATAATAGTTTATCGTATAACGAATGTAGGCATTTGTCTTCGATTAATTTTTGTATCGCAATGACGAGTGTGAAGACAGAGTCAACAACATAATGAACATAACCTTCTTGGGCGTATGGAACCGATAGATCCGCATGCGTATGATCAGTATCTAAAATTTCATCATGGGAAAAAAGATATTCATGAATGATGAGAATCAACCTGTGCATAGTCGAGTAAAATTCCGATTAAATAGTGTTCTCGGCGTGTCAGGAAATTTACATTTGTAGGTTTCTTCCCAATATTCTTGAAACCAAGGATTTCGTGTGTTTTTAGACGGAATCAGATTGGTAAAATATGCATCAAACTCTATTCATTGAGAAAAATTCAATTTCAATTACGGCTTCGCGTTTTCTTCTTCATACCTGGTATCAAATACAGTTTTGGTGCGATCGTAATGGAATTAATAGCAGCAATGCCGAAATTTTCCACCGGATATCTCTTCTTTCCCCACCCATCGGTACCGAGAAAAACCCATCGACCATACAATTCATCTCTCGATGATGTTTGATTGAGAATTTGCCTAAATCATATCAACGGAATAAAACTCGAGTTGACGTTCTCTCTTTCCTCTCACCTAACAGAATCTTCTTGTGCAAAAACAATGACACCAACCACCGAACGATACTTTTCATCTTCGTACAGTTCTCGAATTACGCGAACGTAGGAATTCGGATCCTTGTTATTCACTGACAATTCACCAGCGATACAAATAGCTAGGAACAAGACGACATAGACGTTTTCCGATGAGATCAACGAAAAACCTGGCTACTTTTATTCTTTAATTTTGACTTGAAGTCATCCGTTAGACGTTCGCCGTAGGAGCCCGATTCTTTGACAACTGCAACGTACGTCCAATTGAGAAACTGAATAATGCTAACCACCTAGAGTGTATGACAAAAAAAAATGTCATGAGATGGAAATGAGGAAGAGAAAAGGATCTTTTCAGATTACTAACAGCTTCAGCTTGATACGTATCAGGTGGAACAACGCGTGAGAAATATTGAAAACGCGGCTTTTGACTTAGATCCGTACTTGTTGATGCATACGATATTTGTGGGATCTATAGAATAGAAGAAAGGATATGGAGACAATTTTTTTAATGATCAGAATTTTTTGACATAAAAGAAGTTCGATACAAAGGCAACTCATTTGTTCAATAGCGAACGTGTCATTTTCATGCTTGTATCTACGAGGATTATCACGTTCGAGTTTGTATTAGAATATTTCAAGCAGGAAAAATTTTCTAAGGATTTTTGTATCTTTGTTTAATTGATTGTAAAAGAATGTCGTTTTTCTTCTTTCTTTCGTGTTAGAAAAAAAAGCAACTAAAATAGCATACTTCTGCTAAACGAAGAATATCTGCTATAGCCATCGACACAATACTTGATGCACTGCCGATAACACCAGCCACAAATGCCGATGGATTTTGTGCAGCTATTGGCATGCAATGATCAAGTGAAGGTAATAGCATGTTGAGTGCACGTTCAACAGCATACGATTCATAGTCACATGAATCATAAATTAGTGCACCGAAACGAATTTGATATTTATTCAATATTGACGACATTAAATAGCCTGATCGGTTATTGATCACATCTAATGCAAACAACATTGCTTCAAGACGTTGAATTCCGCGTTCACGCTTAATGGAAGCACATTGATTGCTGCCAAATTCATTCGACGGTGGTTGATGAATAGGAAAAAAACCGCCAAGAATAATATCGCCTAGAATTGAACAGATTTACCAAATGAAATTCAAAGTTCGATTTGCGCCTACCTGGGATATAGATAAAATCATAAGATGGACTATGTGAAGCGCGAAATTGTGGTGGATAATAGTGATGAGTGTACGTTCGACTATGATCATCGTGATTACAATTGCCATTGTCAGTTAGAAATGTAATCAATATCAGGACGACCAATAACAACACTATACGTGACAATGAGACGACGAGCATCGACACTTGGCAACTCGCGTAAACATATATACACACACATATGCTCGGTGTCTTTCGCTAGCTCGCTCGCTCTCTCACTCTCACTCGTTCTCGCTGACGGTGTTACTTCTACAATCACGTTTCAAGTCAAATAAGCCTAGTTAGAAGATCTTTGCGAGAAAATCGTTTTCAACATTGATGATGAGACGCATATTGGTCTGCTAAACAAGAGAAATGAGTATACTTCTCGATGCTAGAGACAGTCAAACGAGCGGCAATGATGATAATAAGAGACGGCGATCGACTTTCTCTCTCTCTCCTTCTCTCTGTCTCTCTCATATCTTCCTCTTTTTCTTTCTCGTCCGTCGTTGTTCTGCATGAGCACAACAATCACACTCGCTTGGTCGCGCAGATAGACGTGTAAGAACCACGAAGGAGAAGAGGAAGGGGAAAAGAAGAGGAACAAAACCAAGACCAAACAAAATCTAAAAAAGAACGAGGAAAAAAGTGAGAAAATTCAGCAGAAATAATACGATCTCTTTACTTTTATCTGTGTTCTGTTATTGGTAAGCAAATGAGATACTTGAGTAACTCATCTCACTAATCATGCTTATATTAACGTTCTAACTGACGCCGCCTCGGTTGTTTAGTATGTAATTTACCGATCATAGAGTAGTTAATAATCGCTATCAGACATGCGCAATTTATTCATATCTAACATATAATTCATTTCATTTTTCGAGGCCTTGCCTTTTCTTCTCGTTTTTCAAGCCTTCCTGATCATTATTTATCTTTCATTTTAGATCGTTTATTAGGCAAAAGAAAAAACAACTTTTGAATTCTATAATCGTTTTTACTAGAAAAATTTATTCGAAGAAAGCTAACGACTGACATCAGTTGTCCGTACTCGTTCTCCTGTGTTTCTCTCTCTTTCTCTCATAGTCAACAGACCTATTAATTATAGAAATTGGATATTAAATGAGCGGATTCAAAGGAAATATCTGCAGAAGAAAAGAATAACTCGTTATACATACGGTTTTTTTGGTTGAATTTCGAACTGCAGACGGGGGATTATGAGAAATGACTTGAACCGGAGAAAGGAAAATCTGTCAGGATGTAAGAATATGTATTTACTATCAAAGTCAAGATGATTCTTTTGTTTTTTTTTTATTATATCTTATAATCGACAATTGAAGTGTTTTTTTTTCTGACGATTTCGTCAAACTGAATTCATCTTGAAAAAATCTCTTTCATTTTGTCCCATTGATGTGTATACAGAAATAGATTTCGCCTTTGTTCAAGAGAAAGTATATATGATGCGATGAAAAGAATAAAGGGATCGTTTTTTTTCCTATTATAGAAGATCTATTTGTCTAACGGGCATTGAATTGTTGTTTGAACAATGATTGAAAACAGCAAATAAATTGATTATGGATATGGGTTTGATTGCATTTTCTCGCCTGAAGATGATTGCATTTGGGTTATTGATTAGTTTAACAAATAAAATTTTCTCTTTTTGCAAGGCGATCCAGTCTGAATGCGATTGTTGTTTTTCCTGTCGGATTGGTAAAACATCAGGTTTTATTTATTGAGAGATATTTATTTGATTACCAGACAGATGCACTTGTGTTTATAGTTAATAAATTAGTCATATTGTTAAAACGTTTGACCGCTTCATTGGCTTTGAATAGATTTGATATTTTCGTCACAAGATGAAACGTATCTCGGTGAGTACAAATCTTTCATTAATATATGCGTGAAATACTCGGATTATTAGTTTATGATCTCGCAATATGTTTCTGACGATCACCTAATCTGTCAAGATAACGTCTTCGGAGCAATAATCGATAAAGATCTTAGAGGGAAAAACATCTTTTATATGTCGATAATCAATCTAATGTCAGATGAAATAATAGATATTTATTTCTAAAAAAACACAATGCGAAGATTCCTTGAATTAATAAGACTTATTTACACGAAAACAAACATTCGTTAAGTACAGATCATTTTCGTTATCTTTTTCTCACATGGTTGACATTGAACATTGACGATGTTCCACGAAAAGTAGCAATGGCAATTTGTAATCGACTTCATTTCAGTAATGACTTCATAGCCGCGGTGACAGCACACTTGTTCACATCCGTCATTACTAAAACATTCTCGTCCTTGTTTTATACCTTGATAATCAATAAATGAATTTGAACGACAATAGTTTATTGATTTCCGTGCATAAATTAGTTGAGTTCTTTCTTTCAATGTCAGAAATTCACTCGACTCCATGTAGCGGGCGTTTTGATATACATTCAAATAGATTTCACGACTCATATCATCTAATTTCGCTGGATGTAATCGACAGATTTGCAATTCGCACGAGCCACTGACACCATGGCAACGACATTCTTTTTTCATCAGTGATTGTACGATCTAAATCAAGAACTTCGTCTGAGACATCCATGCAAGAAAAAAAGTCATTTACCTTTCGGCCGAGTTCTTTATTAGCTTGATTCAATTGAAACAGAAACTTCTGCTGGAAAGTTTTCGTCATGTTCATTCCGTCAGTGATTAAACTGGAGAGCTGAAAAGCAATCTTTGGATCTATTTGACATAATTGTCCAGCTTTTGAACATAAACAATCGGTATCATTAATTTGACCTCTAATACAGGCATTAATTAAATTTAATGTTAGTGTTGCACTGGTTAATGTCGTGTAAAATGACGCTTCTTTTGATGCTATTTTCAACGAAAGATTATTAATGAGAAGAAAATTGGAAAGATAACGCTTACCTTGCCGTAGAAATCTTCTTAACGGGACAAGTTTTGCACTCAATTGGCAGCCCCATGGATGATCACGAAAATGGTATCGACATTGTTCGCGACTTTCAAGATTCGATTGGTAAAGAATCTGATGTAAATGAGGAACTTTTGAACATAGATAATCAGTATTCTCTCCAAGAAACGGACGATATGCTTGACATGGCAGACCATTGATTAATTGAGTAATCGGCGTTAAACCCAATAACCTGTAGAAACGACGTCTCATATATTTGGAGTAGAATATCATTGATGATTACTTACATAAAATCACTTGGTAATGTTTTTGCTTGGATAAGAACGATCAACGAGAAGAAGATAATCAATGTTGACATATTATTCATTTGACCTGAGTATGTCATATACATGCTCCTTTTAAATCAAACGATTGTTTTCGTTTTCTCTTTCTTCTTTTACTGATCAATAAGAATGAATTTCTTACATTTTCCTCTCTCTCTCTCCCTCCTTTTCTCTTGGTCATAAATGTTAAACATAAAAATCAGAATGTGCTGAGCCGGTGATCAACCAAGAGAAAGGTGTCAAAAATGCGAAGGTGTCAGATAGCCTTTTAATGTCCTTCAGAACGAATAACACCCATCTGTGACCCAAACATGGCTCATTTTACCATCATATAAACATGAATATCATAACTTTATTGCTTTCGACAATGAGCATATTAGTTGTGCAGTGAAGACATCGGATCGTTGACCAAGCGGAAATGATCTTTTCATAGAGACAAGCAGAATGAGCATTCTATTCGAGTTAACAATCGATTGACTCTCAATTCTGACGAGAATATGTCGTCGTAGTAGTAAAGAATGGTATTTATTGAATATGTGAGCATTTAGGTGTCAGAGGAGAGTGCGAAAAGAAATGTTTTGAACTATGATTCAATTGAAAAAGAAAAGAAAACAGGTGAATATGTGACAATAATCACAGTAATGCCATACGTTTCACACAATTCAGATTAAATCGATGCCTTTTGATCTGTGTGTTAAACTTGCGTAGCATTCAACGATGATGCTCATCAAACTAACAATCACTCACACGAGATTTGTCGTTTTGATGATTGCGAAAACTTCAACATGCTTGAAATTTTCCCTGTACTAAATATCTCCCCAATGAGATCAGCGTTTCTTTCGAGATTAGATTTAAAGAACTAAACAGTTGATCTCCTTTTGTTATTTTCCTATTACCATGAACTATGGGACTAGTTTGGGTTCGTGGGAAATCAATCGAACGCTCTTTCTAGATAGATATTTCATTAATTATAATGATGCTATCACTCTACTCTAGAATATTTTGGATCCTGTAGGAAGATATACGTATATGGGTAAAAACTATCACAATCCGAACCTAAAATGAGTACTTCTAAGACTTTCTTTTGTAAGCAAGTGTACAGATGAAAGATCGAACATGAGGTTTGTTTTCCTTTCTTTATATTATATCTTTACATGCAATATTGATAAAAGAAAGTATATACACCAATTCAGGGCTCAATATGAAAAAATAAAATCTTTCGACTAACGTTAACAACAGCCGTTTCTTGTGTTTCTTCGTCCAGACCAAGATCGATAATATTCGAAAGAATCAATGTATCATCGTCCGTAATAGCAATAAAACGTGCATGAAACAAAGTATTATCGTCGTGCTGTTGCTGTTGTTGAGAATGATGGTACATTTCATAAGATCTTCCCATGCCTCGATGATAGATCGGCTGCATCGGCGATCTTTGATGGCCTGAACTATTTGCTGGCCACATATGTGGATGGTGTTGACCATTTGGATTCCACATAGCTTGCTGTTGCATCCATGCCAACGTTTGCGGGGTTGGTTTAGTTGTTGAACGACGGATCAAATTAGCAAATGGATTGGGTGTTTGATGAGCGGCCACCGCCGCAGCACCACCACCACCGCCGCCACCAAGTGTCATATCGTACGTATATGAGCCATGCATATTTGGCAGGATACGATTTGGTACATAATATTCTCGGCGTAATTGTCCTTCTTGATCAAACACAAGAACAAGATTATTTACAGGATGAACATCACAGTTCCATACAAGAGCATAGATTAAATCTTGACGAGATACACACAAAGAAACCGTTTGGAGATGGTGTATGTTTTTTGTTGATATTAACCAGCGATATATAAATGAACCTGTCTGACTATTGTAAATACTTATTTGATTCGTTTTTGTATGTAAACAAACGAGAAAATTCGAACCAGCAGCGATACTATCGATGTGCTCAACATTTGTCGACCAATTTCGATCTAAATTTATGAGATTTAAACCATCATAGGCAAAGATCGACGGTGACAAACGATCGACATCAACAAAGAGCAATTCATTAGTAATCGGTAAACGTTTTGATGCTGACATATAATGACCATTTTGATCAAAAAATAATAAGCGTTGTTTGAGCGTTTGATTTGATGATGTTTCATCTAACGATTCTGTAACGTACACACGTATTTCATTGACAATCAGACGATTTTCCGAGTTATTGTTTAGTGCTGACGATAACAATTTATATCCATGTAGATCTTCGAATCTGTATTGTAGAATTAGATCATTATTGTGAATTTTTCTTCCGTTAGTGTCATATAATTTAATAGTATGAATTTTCGTTGATCCAAACACGACTAATAGCTGATTTAACGTTGAATTCACCACTAAATAGAGATTTGTCGTGAAATGATCGAGAACTACGATGGATGACGGAAGTAGATACGATGATTTGATTATTGGCGACGCAGCGAACGACGGTTCGGGTGCTGATGATGGCGTATCAAGTGGCGGAGTAAGATCGGGCGACGGTGTATCAAGTGATTCGTATATGTGCGGCGTTTGAGAATCAGTAGATGGGCCTAGAAATTTTTTAGATGGAATTTTTATTGTACGACGTTTTAATAAATTACGCATGGAGCTACGAAGCGAATGTCTTTGGATATGAGCGGGCTTACCCGTCTCAACAGGATTGCTGACATTTTGTACATTTGGATTGGATCTTGCGAGCGGACGGTGCTTACTCAATGTGTCATAAACATTGAGATTTTTCTCCGGTCTTTTATTCTGATCGTACTTGGAATTGGATGAATAGTACTCATCTGAATGAGATAAAGACATCAATGAGCGAATTTCAGTAATCAAACGACGTGCAGTCGCCGGCGAGCATGATTGTCTTTGTAAATTTTCAGCGGCATGCAAGTATTCTTTCAATTCATAATGAGCATTTATACTATTTTTGTTATCGTTATCGATCATAGCAAGCATAAGGTAAGCGTCTGTTATAGTGTCTTTAAGCAAAAGAATCTCACCGTCTCTTGATGCTAAAGACGAAGAATGCGTCGGCGAGGAGTTAGGAGAAGCGGTAGCTGTGAGTACCTTATCCAGACGACGACGTAACGACGAAACGAAGGAATTCATTTTGCTGTATGCTGTTGACGATTGATCGGTAACGAAACGGTAAACACTGTCCACAGTATCATTCATTGTGCATTAGTTCTGATTGATAGAACGAGTAAACAAATGATAATTATTGATATGGTTTGTTTTATTTTTTCTTGATTTTTCGATTCACCTGTACGTGTCACTAGTGAAAAGAAAAATGAGACACTTGTTTGATGATCGTTTGAGAAATTTGATTTAGTTTTGTTGTAGATATATGCATGTATGACAAAAAAGAGAAGTAATTGAACTTATAGAACACTTGAACGAGCAACTCAATGAACCATGACCATACATTCGTACTGGCTATCTTATTCGTTCTTTTTGTTTCATTTTCAAATATATGAAATTGCTTAGGCAACAGCAATACAAAATGAAATAAACAATCTTATTTTAATTTAATAGAGGCAAATACCAGGAAAATTTTGTCATAGTATGAATAATGATCATCGAATTGATTGGTAGTCTTTCAATAGCAATTGGTTTTGTTAGTCTTATGATACTGACCATTATTCATGTGAGAAAGAATCAAAATGATGTCAGTTATATTCATGAGATCGATCGATCACAATTGAAAATGAATCATCTACGGGAAGAAGCGAGTTTACCGTTCGAACAAAGCACGTGAGAATGCTATTTCCGCTAGGAGAGTCTGGTTAACGCATAGTGTCGGACTATGTTTTGTTTTCTTTCTCGCAGTCAAGTTACTTCGTCAAGTACGAGTCTGACTCGTAAACGTTCGATAATCAATGTGATTCAGGTAGACAAAGCGTCGTTATCTTCTGTTAAATATGGGATTCAATGGAAGTTTCCGAACGATGAAGAGATGCAGTCTGAGAAAATCAATCCTTCACTGACAAACATTGAAAATAGTTCGGAATACGATCAGACGGATTCGCTTTCGTTTGGTGATCAAGCAATATGTGTTCGAAATTTAATTGAAAAATTCGAAAATAATGCATTAGAAAACAGGTAACTTCATCACAATTGTAAGCGATCTCGTTAGTCTCTCTTGCTACAGACTAACTATAATTGAATCGGATTTAACAAGTATTGATAGTCAAACAATTAACACAGTTCGAAATCAAAATCAACAAAGGATTTCACATCATTCGTCGATATCTAATCTTGATATAACGATCCCGTCAAATATTTCATCGTCAATTGATCTCGAACAATTTGAAAGTTTTTCTACGACATCAAATTTAAGCGAATTTTTAATTACTAATTAATCATCGAAATTTTTATTTCCTTCGAATAAAAAGAAACTTTTATTTAATCAAATAAAATGGCTTTTTTTTTCTGTTGCAATTAAACGAATTCATTGATTTGACAAACACGGTTCTCTTTTCGAGCAGTTTCCGCTGCGAAAGCAATCAGATGACTAGCTAATGAGTCTTCTGGTCCTGTGCCAATTAATTCCGGTTTATTCAACGATAGTGCACGTATAAATGAGTCCATTGCGAAAAAGTCTGCTCCGCCATGACCACCCATGATGCCAGCACTCGTAAGATCCGCTTCGTCGTAAACCGTTCGTTTTTGTGTCAAAAAATCGTAATGAACTAATGTATCTTCGCCAGTCCACGTCAATTCACCATGACTACCAAATATACGCGATGTTCGTTGGCAGACTTGCTCGGTAAAAGCAACCATTTGCATGGTAGCTGTCGCTCCTATAGTAATAGTTCGAAATTATCTTACAACACACCCTTTTCTCTTTACCGTCATCGAAGTTCAGTATCACAACTTGTTGATCAACAACATCGTTATCGCAATCGCCGTAAACACATTTGCCATACGGTCCGGTTTCCAATGCATGCTTAACTTTAACTTTAATCTCATCCCAACCTTCGTGTTCTTCAATGTCTGGAACAACAACCGAAACTGGCCATCGACGGTTGGGTTTTTCGAGATAGATCTTTTTTGCTGAATACGGACATGTCGATTCTACAGCACACGTGAGACATCGATCACTTGCACCTTGAGGTTTATTGTCACGTGTAAAGTGCATCAATTTGCCGAAACTGGAAATATTTACACATTGTCGCGGTTGCATCCAATACTGAATCAAATCAAGATCATGACAGCATTTGGCTAACAACGAAAAGCAACTTTCATTTTCATTGTGCCAATTTCCACGGACGAATGAGTGAGCAAAATGAAAATATCCTATGAAGATCAAACTTCACGATGAAATTTTGCAATTCAATGAGTTTTTCTTAATTTCTTACCAACTGGTTCAATGTGTTGTATGGAAATTATTTTACCAATGACATTCTTATCGATCAATTCTTTGATTTTCTTCACTACTGGCAAATATCGCAGTACGTGACAAACGCCTAGTAGAACATTATTATCTCGACAAACTTGAACAATTTCTTTACAGTGTTCAGGTTTGGTGGCCATCGGTTTTTCTAATAGAATATGATACCCTTTCTTTGCCAATTGTGTTGCTGCTTCATAATGTTCCCGATCAGGTAATGTTATCAGAGCACAATCAGCAAGGCGTTCTACACTCGGTTCAGCAAATTGACGCCAATCATTAGAGACATGTTTATCTTCGAGTGAAAACAGTTTTTGCATTTTTTCACGTACAACTTGCCGTGGATCAGCGACGGCAATCACACGAAAACGTTCTGGGAAATGCCGAGCATATTCAGCATAGTTTTGACCACGATTACCGCAACCAACGATGATACCCGTAATTTGTCGATATTCACTGTTCGACATATTTTATCTTTTGATACAAATTTATAAGAATTTTATTTTATCGAAAGATAATAGTCATTTATTGACTCAATTTCTTGTTGGTCTACTTACAGTATCCAATCAGTTTTCAGTAGGAGAAATAGTGGGAGAAGTCGATAACGTCGTTTTAGCTTGTTGGTACAGTCTATATCAAATAAGATTATTTTCTCGATTTATTCAAGAATCTCAACAATGGATAAATCTGTACTTGAGCAAATTTTAAAAATAGTTGAAACTGTGTATGGTAGATACGTCAAAGGTAACTGGATACCTAAACCGTATGCGGATAATAAAAGTCGTTACTTATGGACGGATGCGTACGGTGTTTGCAATTTTCTGACTTTATATCGTGAAACGAATGATAGTCAATACCTTGAACAAGCTGATGCGCTCGTTAACAATGTACATGATGTTCTTGGACGAGAACGAGATGGAAGCAAACGTCTAGGAACAGCAACGGATGAACACCCAACACGTGGAGGATTACGGATTGGAAAAGTCGATGATGAAACATCGTACGACGGTGATGGGCGTAAGTTGGTAACGAATTGCAGGTTGAGAAAGAAAGAAAGAACTATATTAAACTTTAGAATATTTTCATTATTTAACCAAATGGGCATTTGCTTTAAGTCGTATGGCCAAAGTAAAAAATGACCAACGTTACGTTCGTTGGGCTATTGATCTTATCAAAGCAATTCATCCAAATTTCGTCTACCGTGATCGCAATAATCAACTTCATATGTATTGGAAGATGAGTATTGATCTATCGTATCCATCGGTGCCTTCGGAAGGCAATCTCGATCCGTACGATGGTTATATAACTTACCGATTGGTAGACGAAATGGCTACAGAACGAGAATTGGAGAATGAAATTGCGGATATGAAAGCAATGGTCGATGCCAAATATGCACGCTATCGTTCAACGGACCCGTTAGATTTAGGTGAAGCACTGTGGATTACACATTGGTATCCAGATGAACAGTGGGCACAGACTATGACCTCGAAATCATTACAAGCGTTGGAAGAGCTGTGGAAACAAGGTGATTTCCGGGAACCATTAAACCGGCGATTAGCATTTCGAGAATTCGGTACAACGATTGGTGTACAGGTTAACGGCAAAGCTAGCGATGAATGGAAGAAGAGAGTCCAAGAAATTCATGATCTGTGGCTACCACATCTTTATCAACGAGATAAAGATATTTCGCCAGTTATGTTCTGTACTAGTCTTCGACCCGGTGTTGTGAGTCGACATTATCTATAGTAAATCCTGGTCGATTTGATCTACTTTTGTTTGTATTCATCTTAGCAGAAAAATAAACTAGCAATTATATTTTTGTACAAAATGATTTTTTTTAACAGAGTCAATAAAATATTTTTGATAAGCTTGTCTGTAAGATGGTTTATCGCCGTGACTGGTGATATTGAGGACTTCGACTTCGATCTCGATGATGATAATGATTATCATAGTTCGAAGAGCCTCGTTGTTGTTGTTGTTGTTGCTGTTGTCGTCGATCACTTGAATAATTTCGTTGTCCTCTGGCGAAATTTGAGGAACCTCTCTGGTGATTATCATTTGCTCGACGAAAATTCCCCTCAGAACCCCAATCATCCACAATCGGTGGGCTTGATGGACGCTGAGTCATTTCAACGTATTCTTTATCGTCTTTGGTATAGCGATTGGCAAACATTTGATTCAATTGCTCTAATTCAAGAGCATATTTATCCTCCTTTTCGGTATCATTTGTTGTCGTCATCTAGAAAGAAAAAAGAAAAGAAGTCGAAAGCTTTCTTCTACCTGGTGAAACTCTCATTAATATTAGATTGACAAGTTCTTAAACGGTGAAAGAAAAAGTTAATTGAACATGTCGCATACGATCGAAAGAAACTCTCGCCGTACAGAAAGAGAAAATGATTTTTGATTGTTAGTAGTATTTATTCTTTTGGTCTCCTCCAACAGCATCGTCATCACGATGGAACAATCGTATTATTGGAATGTTCAACAAGAAAATCATCCGAAAAATCGCCTTTTAAAATATGCGAAAGGTTCGAAAATTTCTCGTCAAACATTGCAAACACTCTTACGCATACGAAAAAGATATCATCGATTACCACCAATAATTTATTCTTTACAAGATCGAGAAGAAAATGACGAAGGTATAGGTTTTCAAATAGAAGAAAAGAAAAATGTGATTCTCTAACATGTCTTTTTTTCTAAGATATTGTCCTAGAATATGATATCTTCGGTCAACAATGTAAATTGCCGTTAAAAAATAACGATACAATTTGGCAACCGACGTCATTCTATGTTTCTGATAGCATCTATCAACAGATCAAAAATGATCTCTTTACATCGAAAATAGATAACGACTCAACTTTCCTCTGTTTATTTCCCATCTATGCAGATATGAATCGCAAGAAACAGTCAGCTATGGGTCAACAAGATGAAGAAATCTTCCTGCCGTCGACGATTCCAAGTACACAGTACGATCTCATTCAATTACAAGAACGTTTCGATGTGATGTTATACAAAGAACAAGCGCTAGAAATCGGTTTATGTCCTAAGCGTCGACGAATTTACAACGATCTATTCGATGAATTGATACGTACAATCACACTACAATGTTCGGAACGTGGCCTTCTACTGTCACGTATCAAAAACGAATTCCTGCAATGGATGAACACTTACGAAGAGGTCTATTCCAGCGGTATGGCGTACGGACTGCGACAATGTCTATGCAAAACAGAAGAAAAACAAAATTATGGATATGCAATAAAAGAATTGGAAAGTGATCTTCGACAGTTACAAGATGAACTCGAAGTCGAATCGGTTCGGTTTGAAAAATTGAGTCAAGCGTTAGTCAATGATAATGAACACGAACGAAGCGATGAACAACGTTTATTAAAAAAGAATGTCAACATATTACGATCAACCAACGAAATCCTACAACATGAACTTCAAAACGCTTTAACCAACATCTTATCATCAACAATATTCCTAGGTGAACCGATCAATTACGAGAAAGAGGAGTGATTACTGGTCAATGTTTTTCATTCGTTCAACTATTGGAAAAATGGAATCGTCATTGGTGTTGGATTTTGCATGTAGGTGATAACAACGGCAGATATTGAAAGCCTGAAGATAAACTTTTACGCATCAGAAGGTTTTTTTTTAAAGAAATACGTACATCAGACTGCTAAGCACTTGTTTTGTATCTTCGGTTGCTCGAGCATTGGCGAATCCAACAATAGCTAAATGAATATCGTTTCTAGGTGATGCACTGCATTGAAAAAAGAAGAGTTCTTACCAGCGAAGAGGGCGATCCAAGCACACCATTTAATCTGAAATCGATTGTTAGTCAATAAAATGTTCTCTAATTTTTACTCTTACTTTGAGCATCAATGCACACATTGAGCAAATCATACCAATTAAATTCATGTATTCCGGTAAAGCATCATCAGTCTGTGTGATCAATGCAGGTCGAAATCTTCAACAAGATCACAACATTAAATGAATCTATTCAAGAAATTTCATCTACCTATGAATACGAGCGGGCTGTCGACGAGCTTCCATTGTAAATAATCTAAAAAAATGATCTTTTTTTCTTCTGTCTATCTCGCATCAATAATAATAAAACTGACTCTTCTGGTATTGGCCATTTCAAAAGCTAAAACAGTATAAGCGCACATACTGACATGAAACTGTAGAGGGCGTTGAAAATCAACCGTCAAGAAGGCAAAGGTAATGGCAATGATATACAACAGCAGCGTAAAAATAGCATTTAGATTTGTTCACTCATCACTTATTACATAGCTGTGTCACACGTTTGATTGTATGCTTCATCATTCTACTAATGATGCGAAGAAATCACAATAAAAAAATGGCTAAAGTTGACCGGCCGCAAAAAAGATTTTGTTTTCTAGAATGCCTTATACTGTAATCATCAAAAAAGCACTCCCTGTAATTAGGATATTTATGAAAGTAGGCAAAAGAAGCAAATATGTAATCAATTAGTACTGAAGTTAAAATCATGCAATACGAATTTTTCATCTAATTTACTTCGTCTATTCAAGTTATTCTAGTCAAGAAACAACTGTCATTAATGAGAATACATTAATCACGCTTCGCATCGAAATATAGCAGCATTTACAGTCGAAGGAATGGAAGATCTTGTCGGTTGATGAAGTCCACAAGCAGATTATTTAGTTTTATCTCGCTGTTTCTTCCCTTCTGTGTAGAGTAATGTTCACTGAATCAGGTTGTAATAGACATCTTATCACTACAACAAATGAGTCCTATTCATAGTGTTAATCCTTCAAAAGAATGTTCCGAGATCACTACCGACAATTGGTAGGAAAAAAGCATCAATATGTTTCTAATTAACACTGTTTTGTCAGATTCAAGGTTATGATCTACCGATGTCATAGATAGATGATAGGTAAATAATGCAATTAATTCACTGATGTGACATTTTAAACTTTTACAAAACCCAAGCTCAAAAATTTGTTCCACACCAAAATTAACACACACGCACTTGCTGTTTATGCTTTAAGCGTGTCTATCTATGAGGATGTTCCGAATGACTACCAATCACTCTTCCGTCCTCTTAAATCTTATACAATATTTGTTTTGATGTTTTGCTACATTCGATATGCATGAACAGTTTCACATGTAGCATTTATGTGTCATATGTTGCAGTGTTTTTTCGTAACGATATGGTATTTGATTTGTTCGATTGGTGACTCGAGCCACTGTTTTTCTATTTTCTCTGTTTTTTTTTGTCCATAATTGCATAGACGCAAAAGAAACAGCGTACGCAAGAAAAGCACTAATACATTACCGTGTGGTGCTCTATGATTTAGATAGTCTAGTAGTTCGAACGTGTGATTAGTTAACAATGGCAGCGAAAACGGGTCGCTTGGCGTCTAAACCTGGACTTTGGAAAATCTTTCTACTAGCTGCTATTTTCCTTGCATTGGTTGCTTTCATTCTAGGTAGATATTTTTCCAATTAAACTTAATGATTTACACATTTATTACTCAATAGGTTGGATTGGCTTCGGTGTACCTCAATGGCAATGGCTCCAACGCTCAAATACATCATCAGTTACAGAGTATTACGGACTTTGGGCATATTGTCAAGATCAAACAACGGGCACTGTTTGCAGACATTGGTCAGATGCCGCTGATCAACTGTTTAACGGCAGTCGACCAAGTTTTATCTCTACGAGCGAAGGTCTTATTACTACTGGCATGATAATGCTTTCTCTTGGTCTTGTTGCAGGATTGTTCTCCTTAATTCTTCCGTTACTATGTTACTTAGCTGGAATTTTAATGTTTCTAGCATTTCTTTTTATTGTTATTGGAGTACCAATATTCGGTACAAAATCAAATGATCTCTCCTCCTCAAGAGGTGATGTTAGCTATGGAAAACGTTACGGTTTCGGACTTATGATTGCAACAATTGTGTTATCATTTATTTCCATGCTTCTATTTCTTATAGCTGGTTTTCTTTATCAACGTTTTGGTTTCGGTAATATCGCATCACGAAGCAAGATTCGTGTTGGTCAACAGCAGCTTGGTGGTTACAATGTCATTAACAGACCACCGTATGGATATCCACAACAACCGTATGGATATCCACAACCACCGTATGGAAATGCTCGACCTCCGTATGGAATGTATCCAATGCCGACAGCTCCATATCCATATTCAGTCGTTGGCGCACCACAGCCATCTTTACTTTCGCAATACATCGCACAACGTTTGCCTCGATCTTACAGTGGACCAGTCATACGCCGTACGGCTGTTGCTGCACTCCCTCAACCTTCAGTGATTGGCGTTGTTGGTGCTCCATCTTATGTAACCCCCGCATATTACAAAGTAGCTCCGGCTGTTCAGTCAGCGGGTGCACCTATCGTAAATCTCACCGGAAGAACAATTGTCGGTCCCGTTGTACGATCAGCTTAAAAATTTCGACAACAAAAATGGCTCAGGAACAAATAATTAATCTATATTCATTTGTTGGCTTTTGTCTATGCGAACTCATTTTAGATTATGCGTGTATGTGTGTGTATGTGTTTTCAGTGTATTTGTATTAAAGCGTCAATAGTATATATTTTGTTAAGTAGCACTAAAGCGGGGAACGGAAGCAAATAATTTCAAGTTCATCATTAATTCTTTGTTCTTCGTCGAAATAGCAGATTATTGTTTTTCATGCGTGAAAAGAAAAGCACGTCTAGCTTTCATCGCATGCATTTTTCAAAGTCTACATTTAATATTGAACATGAACTATAGACCTTGAAATCTTTCTCTCCGTCTTTATTTCTTTCTGATGGATAGAGAGATAGATATGAATACTTACACATATACATAATATCCTCCTTACTTCATTTTACGATCGTTCGTTATATAATATTTAACAAGAAGTTATCGCTTCCTCTCTTTTCAATTCAGTAGAGAAGCGTGACAGAGAGAAAAAAGGCTCATCAAAGGTATATTTATCTATATAAGGACAAAGATATCGCTCAATATTTCAACACACACTTTTTCTTTTTCTCATCGATCGACTAATTATCAACTATCATACGCACAGCTGACCCTCGCGTTCTTCTGACAACATCTTTGTGTTACAGATGTATACGATCATTCGATGAGAATTCATGGCAGAAAGAAAAGAAAAACACGTAAGATAATCAAATTGATTCGTTTAGAAAATAGAATAAATAACGTATATGTCCTCAGAAAATAATAATAAAACCGAGCAAAGGAAATGAAGACTTCACTTATTAATCTAGGTTTTCTTTCTTCTCGCGAGAAAGTGTATATTTTCGAATGATGGATCAACGAAAGCAAAATAAAAGGAAGCTAAGACAAAATAGGAGGCATAAATATTATTCTTTTCATATCTATGTACGTTACCGCTTATGCTCATTCACCTTCGCATGTGCATTTGAGCATTGCACACAATCAGAATTATTCTGTTTTCTCTGGTTAATGTGCCGTGTCTATTACGTTTTTCCTCTTTATGTTCTCTCGTTCCTCGATGTCGATAAGCTTCATTTTCTCGTCTTGTCTACAGGATGTTAAGGCAAAAGTTTGATCCTTAAATCATGATAATTCATGAGTGTCAATTTAGTATCGTTGAGTTCCATTCATTAGTATTGCGTCGTCGGAAATCCTAGTCTCACTTGCTTGATAAGCACATTCTGCTAATCAAGTGATGATATGAATAATATGATCGCATGAATATTTGATACGTTCTCTTCTTCCTTCGTGTTTAATGAGAATATCTGGATTCATAGTCGACTTTTGAACATTACTCAGCAGAAGAAGACACAAACGATCGTCTTCTTATCACTTCTGCTATGTCTTATGATTATTATCAATGTCACTTTCTGACTCTCATTTACTCTTGTACTATACATAATAATCAAGATAGATTTCGGTAATATAGCTATCATTACTATCTATCTCTGCCTATATACACACACATATATATATATATATATATTGAGTGGTTTAGTTATCCATGATCGTTTTTTCTCTTGCTTTCTTTTTCTTCGTTCGTTTACTTTTCATCACTACCCGAACTGTCATTGAACAGGACAAGTGTACTGTCAACTAGAATTGTGTTATGACGAGATTTCTTTTCTCTCTCTTCCCAGATAGACGCAAAGAGTGTTCATTAGTAATAGACTTTTTCTATTAGACAAATCGGCCAATTTTTTCTGCTTCCGTCTTGCTTTAGTTACATGTTTGTCCTTCGGAATGATGTATACAAACAATGTCATCATTCCACATAGTAAACAAACGCAAATTAGATATCGCTTTTATTATAATAAGTCTAGTACGATAAGTCCGAGTCAAGGTTCAGACGAGAAAGGGTCTCGGAGAGCGCTACTTGTCTTCTCTCTTTCTTGTTCGGCTATTTGATTCTAAGATAGTGTAGCTAAGTAGACTACATTAGAGAAAATGATATATAATTGGCGCTTTTTACTATATGTATTAAGTAAATGGCTGCTGGATGTTCAAAAACATTCTTATCCTTGCTCAACAGCCTGCTAATCATATTTGGCATTGCCTTGATCGTATTGAGCTTCTATATTTATGATAAATACAAGTCGATTCAGGTGATCATCGGTGTTATTGTACTCGCGTTTTTCGTCACATTCGTCGGCCTATTAGGACTAATCGGCACACTTCGGCAATCCAAATGCGGTTAGTATTGTATCAACGGTAACTGTAGTATCATCTATATATCTTTATTTAAGCGTTAACTATCTATATAATTCTTGTTGGTCTTATCACATTGGTACTGTTGGCGATACTTATCTTACTTTGTACTAGAGAGGACTGGATAATCACGAATGCAATTAAGAATTATGAGCAGTACGTTAACAAGCCAAAATTACTTAACGACGACAAAATGGTTAAAGTAACACGTGATTTGTAAGTCATTTAACAAGGCGATCGTTTCAACTTTCTATTATTCGAGTGATATCTATGTATTTTAGTTTCGCTAAATTAAAATGCTGTGGCTTTAAACAAAGAAATGAACCGGAGAAAATCTTCGATGACATCGAAGATTGTCGAGATCGAAATCAAACGAAATTGTTATGTGAAGATAAAATGAGAGATGATCTGAATCGAAATCTTGTTGCTGTTATCGTTATCCATGCTATTTTGACAGGTTTAGGTGCTTTGGCTTGTATCATGGCGTTACATGTGGCATGTTCTGCGAACAATATGGCACGATATCCTACTTTTCAAAGTCGATATCGCTAGACATCGATGTCTATGAATTATAGCCACAGAGAAGGCCTATCATTTGTCACTTTCGCATTGTGTCCTTTAGGCATTATGCTCGATATTATAAACAATGATGAAACATAGAAATAAATTGTTAGGAAGCGACGCGACGACCCCGAACCGACACTACTAGGCGTGATAAGTGAATTTCTCAATAGTCTTCTTCTTCTCTTCTCCTCGGTCTTCTTCATCTCCGATTTTCTTTATTCTGTGATCGGATGTTACAATTCAGTAGCGTCCGATTTCTCGTACGCTACGGGTGGCTAGTTACGCAAGACGACTGATAGAATTGCGCGTATATATGTATGTATACACATAAGCCTTCTTTTCTGTCTTCATTTCCAAGTGTCGATGATGGTGCTGGGGATACGACGTAATAGTATTTGAGTTGTCTTTCTTCGTTCATATCTATGTAAGTTTCCTAGTGATGAACTTAGAAATAAGATTATCGCGCAAATGCTTATGTTTCTGTCTGGTTTGACTAACGCTTTCATTTAGTTAGCGAGTGTCATTGATAAAATCTCATTTTTCAAGCTATTCTCTCTCTCTCTTTCACACACTCAGTCTGTGTCTTCGTTCTAGCGGTCCTTGTTTCCCTCTCTTTCTCTTGTCAAGAATGGATCACCCGTTGTGCTTGTCACGCTCTCATTTTCCAGTGGAATGAAAGAGAGAAGGGTAAACGGAAGAAGATAGCAGATAATTTGCCGATGTTTCGATGGAGATATTGCTGGCGGCTACCGTCCTTGACGTTAGCGAAATATCATCAAGAAACCTTTGCCATTATCACTGTTTCTCTTGAACGTAAGTCCAAATTCTCGGCTAGAGAGAGAGAGAGAGAGAGAGAGAGAGAGAGAGGTTTCTTGCATTGAAGACGGACAGATTCGTATGTTCAATTCTCGTCCGGGACCGTTAACTATTACGCATTCAGTTCAGACAAAAGTTATCATTAGATGAAGTTTGTCTAGATGATAGTTTTTCTTAGATACTTTGCTTGTCGCTATATGATCAAAAGAAAAGTTTTCACTTATATAAACACAGGCTTTTTCAGTCACCATCCTTGGGAATAACGTAGGAAAATACTCTTTTATTTGACTTTCTTTTTTATCGTCTCTTTACTTCCTTTTGTCAAAAGCAACGTTCGGTATTGACACGGACATCCGGACATAGTCAAGTCTCACAACTAGACTTGCTGTGCTTACATCCGTTCATATTATTGTCTCTTTTATATGTACTTATTCGTTTTATTATAGAAAAGAATAACTCATGTTAGTAACGACAAAACATTGGCTTTCATCTACCATGATCAATGGAACACGAAATGAGTTTCGTTCATCGATTGATAATCACAACAATTCACAACATTCGTTATCTATCGAACCGACCTGGGCTAGTTTATCATTGATTACGAGTGAGTAGACATTAATCTTATTAATCTAGAAAAAGTTACAAATGTTCACTTCGACGTCAGAGAGACTTATTTTTGGGTTCTTACTATTCTCTTAGATTGCGTGTCGTTCGTTATTATTATTAGTCCAAGCGATGTTTTCTTTCATATTAGCAAGAAAATAATCTTAATCAGGCCTATTTTTACTTAATCTACCGTCGCCATTATTAGAAACTGAAACATTGAGTATGATCAAAGTATAGTTTAATAACAATTAAAAAACAACGGTTGAACTCTCTTCTCTTCTTCTGAAACAAAACTGTTCGACAAACTAATAGTAACTGATAAAAATAGCCATGCAAACGAATCTATTCTAATTGCGGAAGTAGAACGAAGACTTCTTGGTTTCTAAAAACAACAGTGATAAATGATAGATTTTGTTACATGAAATCTATAATTAAACGCTTATTTATGAAATCTTTCTTTTTTTAGTCATCCTATTTACTGTATGTGGTAATAGTCTTGTATGCATAGCCGTTATACGTGAAAGACATCTACGAAATACAACAAATTACTTCTTAACATCATTGGCATTTACCGATTGTCTTGTGGCATGTCTCGTCATGCCAATTGCTGTGACGATCGAACTCATTGGACATTTTCCGTTCAATGCTTTAGCGTGCAACGTCTGGTTAACATTCGACGTTTGCTGTAGCACATCGTCAATATGGCACATGAGGTAGATGAAAAATTCGTCATAAGAAAACAGTCGAAT